AAGTCAACACCAGCAATCAACAGCCAATTAATGCACAACTATATTCTACCCACTTCAAGACTCCGCTCCAATATAGAAGCATCAAGAAATATGGACCAATAGGCTTTCTACAATTACTTCCATTCAATACCCATTGTTTCGTGTTCTGTCTTGTGTTTGAATTTAATACCCATTCAATACCCATTGTTGAAAGTTTGTTTTCACCTCATCCACCTCACCCAAATGTAGATATAAAATCGAAGATGTGTAAGCTCTATTGAGTTTCAGTTGTGTGTTTGTAAACTAAAGTCTTTAAAAATGTAATAAGTTTTACGAAACGCGCTCAAGTGTCGCGTTAGACTAGAAATAAAAATGAATTTTGGAGAATTGATCTTTGAATTACCATCAACAGTGAAAAGAAACGTAAGAAAGATAGAGAAAATTCGTGTTAGAATCATTAATCTTACTTTTTCGGTTATATTTAATAATATATGTCTACAGGAAAGACTGCTACCAAATATACTAATATATATATATATATATATATATATATATATATATATATATATATATATATATATATATATATATATATATATAAAACGCGACATAACTCTAACTTTAACAATGGAAAAACGAGTACACTGCCTTAGTCCTTGAGGGAAGAAATATGCAAATTAGTGTTTTCTTAGGCATACAGTCAACAGCAGTGTGCTTTTAAACGTTGCAAAACTGCACACAGATGTTGCCTGAGGAGACGAGTGTGTGTGTATGCGTAAGGGCCTTGTGACAAGACTACGGAAAAATGGCAGTGCCTTTTTTCCTGGCAGTGAAGCAGTGACTCTATTCGTATTGTGCAGTGGAAGGCCAAGACAACCTTGGTTTTAATAGTGCGAGGGAGGGAGAGGGAGAGGGAGAGAGAGAGAGAGAGAGAGAGAGAGAGAGAGAGAGAGAGAGAGAGAGAGAGAGAGAGAGAGAGAGAGAGAGAGAGAGAGAGAGAGAGAGAGAGAGAGAGAGAGAGAGAGAGAGAGAGAGAGAGAGAGAGAGAGAGAGAGAGAGAGAGAGAGAGAGAGAGAGAGAGAGAGAGAGAGAGAGAGAGAGAGAGAGAGAGAGAGAGAGAGAGAGAGAGAGAGAGAGAGAGAGAGAGAGAGAGAGAGAGAGAGAGAGAGAGAGAGAGAGAGAGAGAGAGAGAGAGAGAGAGAGAGAGAGAGAGAGAGAGAGAGAGAGAGGCTTTTAGACTGTTCTAAACTAATTAAAAACTAAACTAATGACTTATTTCCGGTTCTTCTCCTCTCTCCCTTCCCTCCCTATTCTTCTCCCATCTCTGCTCCTCCCACTATACCTCTCCCATCTCTCTCTCCCACTATACCTCTCCCATCTCTCTCTCCCAGTATACCTCTCCCATCTCTGCTCCTCCCACTATACCTCTCCCATCTCTCTCTCCCACTATACCTCTCCCATCTCTCTCTCCCAGTATACCTCTCCCATCTCTGCTCCTCCCACTATACCTCTCCCATCTCTCTCTCCCAGTATACCTCTCCCATCTCTGCTCCTCCCACTATACCTCTCCCATCTCTCTCTCCCAGTATACCTCTCCCATCTCTGCTCCTCCCACTATACCTCTCCCATCTCTCTCTCCCAGTATACCTCTCCCATCTCTGCTCCTCCCACTATACCTCTCCCATCTCTCTCTCCCAGTATACCTCTCCCATCTCTGCTCCTCCCACTATACCTCTCCCATCTCTCTCTCCCAGTATACCTCTCCCATCTCTGCTCCTCCCACTATACCTCTCCCATCTCTCTCTCCCAGTATACCTCTCCCATCTCTGCTCCTCCCACTATACCTCTCCCATCTCTCTCTCCCAGTATACCTCTCCCATCTCTGCTCCTCCCACTATACCTCTCCCATCTCTCTCTCCCAGTATACCTCTCCCATCTCTGCTCCTCCCACTATACCTCTCCCATCTCTCTCTCCCAGTATACCTCTCCCATCTCTGCTCCTCCCACTATACCTCTCCCATCTCTCTCTCCCAGTATACCTCTCCCATCTCTGCTCCTCCCACTATACCTCTCCCATCTCTCTCTCCCACTATACCTCTCCCATCTCTGCTCCTCCCACTATACCTCTCCCATCTCTCTCTCTCCCAGTATACCTCTCCCATCTCTGCTCCTCCCACTATACCTCTCCCATCTCTCTCTCCCAGTATACCTCTCCCATCTCTGCTCCTCCCACTATACCTCTCCCATCTCTCTCTCCCAGTATACCTCTCCCATCTCTGCTCCTCCCACTATACCTCTCCCATCTCTCTCTCTCCCAGTATACCTCTCCCATCTCTGCTCCTCCCACTATACCTCTCCCATCTCTCTCTCCCAGTATACCTCTCCCATCTCTGCTCCTCCCACTATACCTCTCCCATCTCTCTCTCTCCCAGTATACCTCTCCCATCTCTGCTCCTCCCACTATACCTCTCCCATCTCTCTCTCCCAGTATACCTCTCCCATCTCTGCTCCTCCCACTATACCTCTCCCATCTCTCTCTCCCAGTATACCTCTCCCATCTCTGCTCCTCCCACTATACCTCTCCCATCTCTCTCTCCCAGTATACCTCTCCCATCTCTGCTCCTCCCACTATACCTCTCCCATCTCTCTCTCCCAGTATACCTCTCCCATCTCTGCTCCTCCCACTATACCTCTCCCATCTCTCTCTCCCAGTATACCTCTCCCATCTCTGCTCCTCCCACTATACCTCTCCCATCTCTCTCTCCCAGTATACCTCTCCCATCTCTGCTCCTCCCACTATACCTCTCCCATCTCTCTCTCCCAGTATACCTCTCCCATCTCTGCTCCTCCCACTATACCTCTCCCATCTCTCTCTCCCAGTATACCTCTCCCATCTCTGCTCCTCCCACTATACCTCTCCCATCTCTCTCTCCCAGTATACCTCTCCCATCTCTGCTCCTCCCACTATACCTCTCCCATCTCTCTCTCCCAGTATACCTCTCCCATCACCTGTTCAGGTATACTTCAGTTTACAGACCACGAGCCCCAGCAGGTAAGGTTTACCCTCGCTTCCAGCAGTCATGGTAGGTCACTGAGTGATGGAGGTGCAGTGTTGGAGGTGCAGTGTTGGAGGTACAGTGTTGGAGGTGCAGTGTTGGAGGTGCAGTGTTGGAGGTGCAGTGTTGGAGGTGCAGTGTTGGAGGTGCAGTGTTGGAGGTACAGTGTTGGAGGTGCAGTGTTGGAGGTGCAGTGTTGGAGGTACAGTGTTGGAGGTGCAGTGTTGGAGGTGCAGTGTTGGAGGTGCAGTGTTGGAGGTGCAGTGTTGGAGGTGCAGTGTTGGAGGTGCAGTGTTGGAGGTGCAGTGTTGGAGGTGCAGTGTTGGAGGTGCAGTGTTGGAGGTACAGTGTTGGAGGTCACTCCTGGGATGACCTATGTTGTGTGGTCCCGGTAGGGATGACCCGGGTTAAAGCCGAACCTGGGGTCGAGTCAATGGTTCGAGGCTTGGCGCTGTGGCAGGGTGTGAGGCAGGGTGTGAGGGTAGGGTGTGAGGGTAGGGTGTGAGGGTAGGGTGTGAGGCAGGGTGTGAGGGTAGGGTGTGAGGCAGGGTGTGAGGGTAGGGTGTGAGGCAGGGTGTGAGGGTAGGGTGTGAGGGTAGGGTGTGAGGCAGGGTGTGAGGGTAGGGTGTGAGGGTAGGGTGTGAGGCAGGGTGTGAGGGTAGGGTGTCAGGCAGGGTGTGAGGGTAGGGTGTGAGGCAGGGTGTGAGGGTAGGGTGTGAGGGTAGGTGTGAGGGTAGGGTGTGAGGCAGGGTGTGAGGGTAGGGTGTGAGGCAGGGTGTGAGGGTAGGGTGTGAGGGTAGGGTGGGAGGCAGGGTGTTAGGGTAGGGTGTGAGGCAGGGTGTGAGGGTAGGGTGTGAGGCAGGGTGTGAGGGTAGGGTGTGAGGGTAGGGTGTGAGGCAGGGTGTGAGGGTAGGGTGTGAGGCAGGGTGTGAGGGTAGGGTGTGAGGGTAGGGTGTGAGGCAGGGTGTGAGGGTAGGGTGTGAGGCAGGGTGTGAGGGAAGTGTGTGAGGGTAGGGTGTGAGGTAGGGTGTGAGGGCAGGGTGTGAGGGCAGGGTGTGAGGCAGGGTGTGAGGGCAGGGTGTGAGGTAGGGTGTGAGGGCAGGGTGTGAAGCAGGGTGTGAGGGCAGGGTGTGAGGTAGGGTGTGAGGGCAGGGTGTGAGGGCAGGGTGTGAGGTAGGGTGTGAGGGCAGGGTGTGAAGCAGGGTGTGAGGGCAGGGTGTGAGGTAGGGTGTGAGGGCAGGGTGTGAGGTAGGGTGTGAGGGTAGGGTGTGAGGGCAGGGTGTGAGGTAGGGTGTGAGGGCAGGGTGTGAGGTAGGGTGTGAGGGCAGGGTGTGAGGGCAGGGTGTGAGGGCAGGGTGTGAGGCAGGGTGTGAGGGCAGTGTGTGAGGGTAGGGTGTGAGGGCAGGGTGTGAGGTAGGGTGTGAGGGCAGGGTGTGAGGCAGGGTGTGAGGGCAGGGTGTGAGGTAGGGTGTGAGGGCAGGGTGTGAGGTAGGGTGTGAGGGCAGGGTGTGAAGCAGGGTGTGAGGGCAAAGTGTGAAGCAGGGTGTGTCGTCCGGCCCAACAAAGAAACGTAACTCGAATACAAAATAGCATCTGGGAAACAAAAATGTTCTTGTGAGGAAGATAGTCATATCCCCTCGTCGTCGTCGTCGTCGTCGTCGTCGTCCTCGTCGTCGTCGTCCTCGTCGTCGTCGTCCTCGTCGTCGTCGTCCTCGTCGTCGTCGTCCTCGTCGTCGTCAGAGGAGGAGGAAAGACGGAGGTGGAATACGTGAGAGTGAAAATATCGAGTAAAAACAGCTAGCGATGAGGCAGAGGAAGGAGAGGAGCAGACAGAAATGAGAATAACGCGGAGGTAAAGACTAAAGAGAAGAAGGGGAAGACGGAGGGGAAACCCAGGTGTGTGAACCGGTTTCGCAAGAAGGTGTTGTTAGCAGCAGGTGTGGAGGCTGCCAACGAGCCGTTTACCCGCGCTTGAAGCCCGCGCGATCTTCCCTTACCGCTGAGAACACTGAGCAGCGTCGCTGGACGGGCGGGAATCGAGGCGCCCGCTGCTCCCGCAGAATTAAAGCCTTCTCCTGCTTCTGCTCCTCCTTCAGCACCGCCGTCTGAGTGGTCCAGCTCCGCGGTAATGGCTTCCACGGTGTTGCGCCTGGAATTTAAAAGCCTGGGAACTTCTCGTGAGAGCTTTAATTCTCCATTGTAATGGCCATGAAGGAGGAAAGAATGATAATTGCTCCCTTGGGCACGCTAATGGCTTTGATCCATTACAGTCAATGATGTAATGGTGTTTTACAGCATTCCAGTGCTGTATTACTCTGTATTGTGGCTAATGAACAACGTTATTCTATCCAAAGGATTACAGGCATCTGACTGTAATGTTGTACCACCAGCTTCAAGTTCATCATTGAGATTAAGCGAGTTATTTATTTATTTTCTTCTTCGTGTAAGTTTAGACCCATTTTCGATAGAATTCAGAACCATGAACTATGTACTCTGTATAATACAGTAACCATGAATAATACAGTACACTGAATAATACAGTAACAATGAACTATGGAACACTGTATAATGCAGTATATAATATAATGAACTATGGTACACTGTACACACATAGATCCCTGTACACTGTATAATGCAGTAACCATGAACTATGGCACACTGAATAATACAGTAACAATGAACTATGGTACACTGTATAATGCAGTGTATAATATAATGAGCTATGGTACACTATATATATAGATCTCTGTACACTGTATAATACAGTGTACCATGAACTATGGCACACTGAATAATACAGTAACAATGAACTATGGTACACTGTATAATGCAGAGTATAATATAATGAACTATGGTACACTGTACACACATAGATCCCTGTACACTGTATAATACAGTAACCATGAACTATAGTGACCATGAAAGTTGAAAAGATAATTTATTAAGTTGGTTATCGCCTTAGAGACGCGATAAACAATAAATACTTTAATCCAGATAGCGCCCCAAAAATGCGGACATATTAATTAATAAAAGTCATCATTTTTTTAAATTATGAGATATCTAAAAAAGTTGAATCTATTTTTTATATTTGTAGAGTTACTATTAATTAATTGTATTCTCGTCTAAGAGGAGCTAAATCAAAAGACTTCGTTCAGAGTCGTATGATATGACTTTGTTTGGGGCGTAAATGGTTAAGGTAACGAAAGATAATTACAAATACGAAAAGATATAGGAATAGTGCAAGTACAGCCCAACACACTCACACACACACACACACACACACACACACACACACACACACACACACACACACACACACACACACACACACACACACACACACAGAACATCGTTCAGGAACCTGTGTAAGGAATCATTCAGAATCTTGTACACCACATACGTAAGACCAATCCTGGAGTATGCAGCCCCAGCATGGAGCCCGTACCTTGTCAAGCACAAGACGAAGCTGGAAAAAGTCCAAAGGTATGCCACTAGACTAGTCCCAGAACTAAGAGGCATAAGTTACGAGGAAAGGCTGCGGGAAATGCACCTTACGACCCTGGAGGACAGAAGAGTAAGGGGAGACATGATCACAACCTACAAAATCCTCAGGGGAATCAACCGGGTAAACAAGGATAAACTATTCAACACTGGTGGGACGCGAACAAGGGGACACAGGTGGAAACTGAGTACCCACATGAGCCACAGGGACATTAGAAGGAACTTTTTCAGTGTCAGAGTAGTTAACAGGTGGAATGCATTAGGCAGTGATGTGGTGGAGGCTGACTCCATACACAGTTTCAAGTGTAGATATGATAGAGCCCAGTAGGCTCAGGAACCTGTACACCAGTTGATTGACAGTTGAGAGGCGGGACCAAAGAGCCAGAGCTCAACCCCCGCAAGCACAAATAGGTGAGTACACACACACACAGGGTGGGTACACATTTACATATCAGGGGGGCTTGATAGCTGAGCAGACAGCGCTCTGGACTCGTAATCCTAGGTTCCGGGTTCGATCCCCGGAGATGGCAGAAACAAAATGGCCAAAGTGTTTTGTCACCCTGATGCACCTGTTCACCTAGCAATAAATAGGGACCTGGGAGTTAGACAGCTGCTTCCTGGAGACGAGTGTATGTGTGTTAGAAAATATATGTAGTAGACATAAGAGAAAAAAATAGATTGGTTAGAAAGGCGGGGTCCAAGAGCTACGCACTCGAACACGATTGAAACACGACTAAAACACACTTAAACACTCTAAAACACACTTAAACACTCTAAAACACACTAAAACACACTAAAACACTCTAAAACACACTAAAACACACTTAAACACTCTAAATCACACTAAAACACACTTAAACACTTAAACACTCTAAAACACGACTAAAACACACTTAAACACTCTAAAACACACTTAAACACTCTAAAACACACTTAAACACACTTAAACACTCTAAAACACACTAAAACACACTTAAACACTCTAAATCACACTAAAACACACTTAAACACTTAAACACTCTAAAACACGACTAAAACACACTTAAACACTCTAAAACACACTTAAACACTCTAAAACACACTTAAACACACTTAAACACTCTAAAACACACTAAAACACACTTAAACACTCTAAATCACACTAAAACACACTTAAACACTCTAAAACACGACTAAAACACACTTAAATACTCTAAAACACACTTAAACACTCTAAAACACACTTAAACACACTTAAACACTCTAAAACACACTTAAACACACTTAAACACTCTAAAACACACTTAAACACACTTAAACACACTAAAACACACTTAAACACTCTAAAACACACTTAAACACGACTAAAACACACTTAAACACTCTGAAACACACGTAAACACTCTAAAACACACTTAAACACTCAAAACACACTTAAACACTCTAAAACACACTTAAACACTCTAAAACACACTTAAACACACTTAAACACACTTAAACACTCTAAAACACACTTAAACACGACTAAAACACACTTAAACACTCTGAAACACACGTAAACACTCTAAAACACACTTAAACACCCTAAAACACTCAAAACACACTTAAACACTCTAAAACACACTTAAACACACTTAAACACTCTAAAACACACTTAAACACACTTAAACACACTTAAACACGACTAAAACACACTTAAACACTCTGAAACACACTTAAACACTCTAAAACACACTTAAACACGACTAAAACACACTTAAACACTCTGAAACACACATAAACACACTTAAACACTCTAAAACACACTTAAACACACTTAAACACTCTAAAACACACTTAAACACACTTAAACACTCTAAAACACACTTAAACACACTTAAACACACTAAAACACACTTAAACACTCTAAAACACACTTAAACACGACTAAAACACACTTAAACACTCTGAAACACACGTAAACACTCTAAAACACACTTAAACACTCAAAACACACTTAAACACTCTAAAACACACTTAAACACTCTAAAACACACTTAAACACACTTAAACACACTTAAACACTCTAAAACACACTTAAACACGACTAAAACACACTTAAACACTCTGAAACACACGTAAACACTCTAAAACACACTTAAACACCCTAAAACACTCAAAACACACTTAAACACTCTAAAACACACTTAAACACACTTAAACACTCTAAAACACACTTAAACACACTTAAACACACTTAAACACGACTAAAACACACTTAAACACTCTGAAACACACTTAAACACTCTAAAACACACTTAAACACGACTAAAACACACTTAAACACTCTGAAACACACATAAACACACTTAAACACTCTAAAACACACTTAAACACGACTAAAACACACTTAAACACTCTGAAACACACGTAAACACTCTAAAACACACTTAAACACACTTAAACACTCTAAAACACACTTAAACACTCTGAAACACACTTAAACACTCTAAAACACACTTAAACACTCTAAAACTCACTTAAACACACTTACATACCTGTAAACAGCTGGAGAAATCCTGCCCTTGAACATGACTGAGAGGAGCAGTTAACCTGCCCCGGACTGCCTGACTGGACAAGAGAAAACGTCCCAGAATCCTGACTTAAATTGAAGATGCTATTTGCCTAGACTTGAAAGGCTCGGCGTCTTGCCCTCCATCCACTCAAAGTCTCGTCTCAAAAGGCTTCCGGATCAAGTCTGAGGATTGAAAGGTTGTTGGAGAGTTTAAGATGGTGATTCTGACGCCCGGATGGCCGGCTCTAACATGCGAAAATGTTTACAACGAAGGGATTGGAATGGATTGAAAGTTGACATTTACAGTGATTGTTTACAACGGAGGGATTGGAATGGATTGAAAGTTGACATTTACAGTGATTGTTTACAACGGAGGGATTGGAATTGTGTAGGCCGTTACGTTGATGCTAAGTGGTTGTGGTCATTGGTAGATGGAGGTAGATGGTGGTAGATGGAGGTAGGGAAGGAATTAGGAAAGTCTGTGCAGGGTGATAGAATCCATTGATGGTATTCATTCGGTTTATACATACATAAACAAATATAAATACATATACGTAGTGTAAGTATATAAACATATATACATACATACATACATATACGTAGTGAGTTAATACGTACTTACTACGAGATTCGATGATTATTGCCAGAAACACCAAAGATTGGAACCTTGATTGGAAGAAGTGAGTCCAATCGGTTTCCTCACCTCGCCCGAGGTTGCTTCCGATGTAGCCTGACTGGGATTAGAGTCCCCTGGAGCACACATTCTCTGGTATGGGTTCGAACCTACCACAATCCCCACCAGCCTGTCGTTGTAATTACACTGGTGATGCAACGGTTACTCTGGAGACGACACAGCATCTTGACGCTGTACCTGGGTGTAGGTACCTGGGTGTTAGTCAGCTGTCACGGGCTGCTTCTTGTCTACCTCAAATCGCTTCATTCCGCTTGTAATTGTTGTTTTATTAATGCTGGTAATCGTCTCATATTTGCAACAGTTGCTCCTACAGCGATTGTCAATCGTGTATAGATTTAATATCACTAAGATGATAGATAAATGTAGATACAGGATTGTGTTGTATCTTCAGTTTCATCTGTCAGATTGGCCGTTACGGCTT